AAAAAAAAAAAAAAAAAAAGAGCTAAGAAATCTTTTTCTACAATTGTTTAAAAATTTACTTTCCCTACAATCATTTTAGAAAGCAATAAAAAAGCTATTACAAACTAAACCTCTTACAATGCAAGAGCTTATTTGAAGCTTTTACTTCCAATTTCTATTAATTTTTTTTATCATAGAGCCTCCAAATCAAAATTAAAATAAAAAAAAAAAAAAAAAAAAGAGCTAAGAAATCTTTTTCTACAATTGTTTAAAAATTTACTTTCCCTACAATCATTTTAGAAAGCAATAAAAAAGCTATTACAAACTAAACCTCTTACAATGCAAGAGCTTATTTGAAGCTTTTACTTCCAATTTCTATTAATTTTTTTTATCATAGAGCCTCCAAATCAAAATTAAAATAATTGATACTGAAATGCACAATCTGACATAGCAAGAAATTTAATTTAGACTAAACAAAGAATAATGATATTGACAATTGAGAATCATAAAAAATTTTAATATTTAAAATTAAAGTCAATCACAATTTTTAAGTAAATTTTTATTTTAACAAATTAATTAGTCTATGTCTATGAAAAAAAGTATTACTTTGTAGGCATCAAGCATCTTTCATTATTAATTTCCCCTTCCAAAATAGATTCAGCTTTTGTCATCGATTTCTGCTCTAATGATTTTTTATGTAAAAAAAAACTATGGATTTTGTAATTTTCAATAATATTACATCATCGAGTTCTGCTCTAATGATAATATTTCTCTCAAAATAAACTAAATTACCTCCAAATGGCAGGACAGGTTGGTCTTTTTCCTGCCTGTGACTTCAATATATAACTAAGTTGATAGACTTCTAAAAAAGTAAAAATTATACATATCAAATGGTACTAATTCATGAACAAATGGAGAATCAAGAGGCATTCCTGTGTGGTGACAAGAATAACAGAAAATATCACAAATCACATAACTAAACACAATGAACACGATTCGATTTACGTAAGTCAACGAAGAATCCTCTATATCCACAGAGAGGAAATGATTTCACTATATTATGGAGAAATATGATTACAATTGGCTCTCTTGCACTTCCTTACAGTAGCCCTCAACTTCTATATATAGATTTGAAAAAAAAAGAAAAGAACCAATTTCATAATTTTTAAGAGAAATGATTGCAACAATTTTGTATAAAAAGTGTTGATATAATTTTCAAATAATTGCAACAATTTTGTACTTAAAATTTTGAATCCTAATACATTTTAAGTATATTTTATATAAATTTTTTTTAAAGGAGTCAGCTCAGCGAGCTAATGATTCGAGCCCAAGCTAGCTCATGAGTCGGCTTGACTCACTTCCACCCCTACATGAGTTCATAATTTAATTTGGAAGAATTATTCTTTTATCTTTTAATAAATAACAACTAGAGCTACATAATTTTTTATCAATATCAAAAGCAGTAGAAATAAAACTATCAATCAACATATTAATATATACATATGCATTTTATTTCTAAAATCACATATAATATTCAGCATCTACACAATTATCCTATAACTATTTTGCCCCAAGTACAAAAGAATAACTAAAATAAGAACTTGAACATGCATGAATCCTGATCAGCCTCTCACTCCTGATTATCTGTCTTGACATGAAATTATTTAATTACATATAATGAGCTAAAAAGTCCAATATGTCATTAAAATCTATAACTGAATTCAAAGCACGATAAATGAGTAATATGCATGTCAGAGATCAAATCATAGAATTAGCATTCATATGATTATCAAATTAGTATAGAAATAGTAAAATTTCCATGTAGTTGTAGAAAAATCTATAAATAGTAAAACACAACGGTATGGAAGCTAGTAAATAAGTAAACGAGTATGAATGTCAAATCTATAAAATAATCATTATATCAGTAATATCAATCAGTACAAAAATCAGATAAAACATCAAATTAAAATATCAGTAAAGACTGTTAAAATCAAATCAATGTAATAAAATCATATAGGAATGTATATATACTATCTAGTTATTTTATATCAACATTAAGTTAATATCTAGTTACATGCTCAATATATTATGTATATCACATGCTCAATGGATATATCATACTTTTTGTATCAATAAATCATTAATAATATTAATAATAAATCCATATAGTAATATGAATAATATCTCAATAACATTCATTTTAGTAGTCATACTAAATAAGTAAGAATTCTGACTCATGGTATTTTTCAGTATAAGTGTTAGAAAATTATTTGCTTAGTAAATAGAGTCGTTATTATTTACCCATGGGCACAATAATCATCTCCTTAAAACTTTTAATCAGTATATCATGTGAATCAATAAAGGATAACACCAAACCATAGTATTTAAAAAGAACGCCCGTTGACCCACTATCTTGTACAAGTCAATCAGTCTACTACCAACATATCAACTAGTATTTACTTATCTTTTACACACATTATTATCACACTACTTTAACAGTAATAGCGACCAACTACTATTACTCAATCATATATATGTATTCATTTTCAATGCATTGCAATAAATAAAATATAATTAAGTTTAATTTAGAAAGTACCAGAATGTCCTAATAGTAAAAAATAAAAATTATATTGAGTAAAAATTTATATTTTTATAATTTAACAAAATGATCAAATATCGTATAAAATAATATTTTAAAGCTTTAGTGAAACTTTACCCTTGGAGATAGGTTACGAAATAAGCATATACGTGAAAAGGTTGGAGTAGCTCCAGTGAAAGATAAGATTATAGAGAGTCGCCTTAGATGATTTGGCC